ATTATTAACAATACAACAGCTCTGATAATTATCATTGCTGAATCAGAAAGTCAATCTGGCCTGATCCAGTATAGATGCTTATCATGCCTCTGCTGTGGCTGATTCCATGATTGTATCAGGACTGATTGCCCAAAATCCATGGTCCATGTCTGATATCAGGACTGATTCAGGCTAACACCAGTCCTGATCCACATGCCAATTCTTGGCTGCAGTGTACATGTTCTTATGATGTGTAAGAAGCTTGAGTTGGTTCAAATTGAAATTGGATTTGTTATGAATTTCTAAGGTCGCTCAAAAAATTAGGCCACAGACCATAGGCAGTACAGGGTCTCTGGTCAAATTTTCCCAAAATTCAAAGGTAAAGAACTTGCCATTTCTATAATTTTTCTGATGTGTATACACTGTACACGTACATGTTCTTCTTTTGTGTAAAATTGACTCCGATAAAAATTGGATTCTTATAAAATTTAAAGTTGCTAAAAAAGTTTTTATTTTAGCAAAGAGCCATCAAAATGCATAAATATTGCACCCTCCAAAATTACCAGCTATGTGTTAATACACACCACCACATTGTGCAGTGTATCGTGTGTTATTGATTACCTATTAATGAAGGTTTAACAGCTCTGTGTGTTGGTCTGGGGGAAGATGGTGGCTGTATTGTCAAAGGAGGCCTAACCTTCTCATCATCATCTTCACCATAAATTTATCTGTAATGGAACAGATATGGGTTACCATAGCAACCACACAACACCCTCTTATTGTAAAATGTCCTCTCTCTCTCTTTCTCTTACCAGTGAACTTGATGGAGTAGAGGTTCCTAGCATTTTGAATATAAATAGGAATTATAGTTAAAATTACTCATTAAATACATCCAGTTCAATCCAAAGCCAAGGGGACAAATGCTCCTCCCACAAACCCTGCAACTAATTTAAAAGGTATAATGTACCATATAGGGCATAATGTTCGTGGGAGGCAAATTTCGTGAAATCTACTAAAATTCCAATTCATGGATTTTAATTTCGCGAATTCTACCACGTGGGCCATGCGGATACCGTATTAAATTGATATTTGCGGATTTTCTTTATCCACGAAATCAGCGAAATTTGCATCCCGCAAACATTATGCCCTATACGGTATGATGTAAGCTCAACCAACAAGCCCCACCCATCAGTATTAATTAGTTATTATGTACCAATGGTATCATCATTTATCTATTTACTTTGTGAAAGGATCCAATTTGCTTATACTTGTCAGGGACTGCCATACAGTTAAGATCATCTTGATCTCTAATTGCCTGCAGTGGGTCTTATACTGAAATGAACACAAAATGGAGTCCAGGCTGAGGCTTTGAAAGAGTACTGAATAGATCTAATTTAATTCCTTCTCTCTCTTGGATTTGGAGTAGTTTATCATAAACAAGGTCTAATTTCCCATGACAGCAACCTCCTATGGCAATCTAGGGAAGAAAAGAAATAATGAAATCTCGAATGAAATATTAACTTTACGTTCAGGGGACCTTCATTTTGAGTAGGAGCATGTGCCATGTGGTTGA